GGAGGCGCAGGGCAGCTCCGCCCGGACGCGGCCGAGCCCCAGGCCACGCCCCGCCCCCTGGCTCGGGTGGGGGGGCAGAGCTAGACGCTCCGACTGGTATGTCCGTGCGCTCCGCCCCTTCCGCTCCCCAGGCCCGAGCTTCCGGCAGTTGGACCGCCCCGCTGATCCCGGCGCTGCCGTTCTGCGATTCGACCCGACGCGCTTCGCCCTCAGGACATCATGGTGGCGTACTGGCGACAGGCTGGACTCAGGTAGGCCTGAGCCTCCCGAGGGAAGCGCGCCCGGGCGCGGCGGGTCGGGCCTGCGCAGGCCGGGCCCGCCACCCGCGGGCCTCCCCGGGGCTCGGGTGCCGCCGCCAAGATGGCGTCGCCATGGCCAAGGTGCGCCGGCTTCGGGGTCACGGGGTCACGGGCCTCCGCTGCCTGTCCGGACCTCAGGTGCCAGCAAAGCCACCGGCGCTCGTGATCTGGAGTTCCGCATCCTAACGTGACAGCACCACACACCTGACCTGGGTCACGGAGGGGCCCGGCCGCCCGAGCCAGCCACTGCTGGCCCGGGGCCTTTTGACCCAAACGTGGAGGCCGAGTCTTTGATGAGGATTCTTACATTATAGTTTCCTCGTTCATTGATTCTCATTCGCCTCGCACTTCTTTATCGCAAAAATGGGTGCAAGCCCTGCAGGGGACCCGTTTATCTTTGCCCAGGCGGCACCCCTCGTTAGGGGCCGGATGGTGCAGACCTTCCCGTCTGCCAGCTTGAACCACCGCCCCCGAGCTGCCCACGTGCTGAGGACAAGCAAAAAGTTTGTAACTTAGATGATCGTGCCAATAATACACATAATTGTTAAGCCCTCCGTTATGGTATCCGGGCATTTTCACGCTTCTGGGTCCTCTTCCCAGACACCTGCTGGGCACATCTTGTTATCCCCTTACTCTGTTGTTCTTACAGGTGAATAAACAAGCTGCAAAGGTTGAACAGCCTGAAGGTCACCCAGTTAGGAGTGGATACTAGCCTTGGAACCCTTACCTCTGACTCCCAAAAACAAATTGTCAAACATGAGAAATAGACATCCTTCCCTCCCTTCTTCCTGTTTTCAAAAAGTGTGAAAAGTGGTCTGACATCTTTCAGGGAAATAAGATGTTGATGGAAGTCCATGTACCAAACAGGAAGCAGGCGTTTGGGTATTATGCTAGAATTGATGTTCTCCTGGGCCTTTTTAGCTTCATTTAGAAACCTTGATTAGGAAGTGTTTACGGTAACAGATTTATAAGACAAAGTCCAATATCCCAGAAAATCCTTTAAACTGTTTGTCAAAGAGAAGTGATTAATTCAACAGGTTTTTTTTTTCCTCTTCTAATTATATTTAACCTTACCTCATAAGAATAGAATAAAGGGGGGAAAATGAAGTAGAGAAATGAGAAGAATTCATTTATGTTAAAGCCTCCTGAACATTTTGGTTGTCTCCTGAGCTGTGAATTTGGGGTGTTTTTTTTTATGTATCCTTTTATTTTTAATATGCCTTGAAAAGATAAGACATACTACAAAAGAAAATCATGATTACCTTCCCAAACACCAATTAATACTTGGACATTCTAATGTTTTTCTTTGTTTAGATTCTCTTGGGCATTTTTCACATTTAAATCCGATTCTACAATTTCATACAAGCAAACTAAAAAGTGTAAAAAGAAAAGCAAAAGAACAATAATAGAACCATCTGATGGGTAGTTGGTAATTAACACTCTATTCTCTCTTGTTTTTCTCAGCTACATCCGGTACTCCCAAATCTGTGCAAAAGCCGTGAGGGATGCACTAAAGACAGAGTTCAAAGCAAATGCCGAGAAGACCGCTGGCAGCAGCATAAAAATTGTGAAAGTGAAGAAGGAATAATGAGTAAGTTACTGATTTATTTAGAAGACTTGTACCTTAAATTTTAAAGCACCATAAAAACCAAAGTAATTTTAGTTTGAGGTTCTGCCCGTGTTTTCGTCAATCGGTGGTTCTGAAGTTAAGCTATAGAGGTAATAATTCAAGGCACTCCAGTGACAGAAGTGCTAAGGCATGATAAAAGAAAGCCCTTTCTATCCCTAACAAGCAAAAATAATTGGCACATTGATTTTCAGTTCATTTAGCAATGCTTAGGTAGAGAGCTGTCTTATTTTAATTGAACCTGTTTCATTTGTCTGCCCAAAATCAAATAATTAGGAGGATAAACTCCTCACCTTGGTAATTGCTGCGGAAGTTACATAACCATTCAGAAGCATGAAAAAAATAGTTTTTTGTGTGTGTTTTTATTTTCCCCACATCTGCTAATGTCCTCACCAATCAGCTCTTCTGGAACATAAGGGCGCAAAGTACAGGCAAGGGTCCTGCTATTCTATCAGGCGGTAAGATCTGCCAGACCCTGCAGTGAATGCTGTGTTACTGAACTGAGTGTGCTTCAAGAGCGTTGGGTTCATTTTAGTTCTGCAGAGATGTTGGTGATGTAAAGTTACATTGTCATGCAGTCAAATGACAGTTATGTACAATTGGTAAATTCAGACATCTGTGCTCTAAATGTGATCTCCCAGCTCCTTCCTTGACACTGTTATTTCAAAGATAAGCAAGGCAAATTACCAGAGATGTTTTTCAGGTTTAATTTTCCTGTTTTGCTCTTTAAAAGCTTCAGACCTGCAGCATCACTGTAATGTGATAAATATTAATCTTCTGGCAGCTTATGGTTATGAGCAGTTTTATTTATTGGAATTGTCTCCCATAAGCACTTTTTGTTTTCATTTTGAATTAGTAAATATTTTATTACAAGCCTGAAGATATGGTGTTTTGAATTTAGTCCTTTTTCTAGGTGCTCTCTGTCTGGTCTCATAATTTGGAATAAGGAGGCCTGGTTTTATGGCGGGTTCTTCAGTTTCAACAGTAAGCTAAGTGAGAGCAATGTCTCTTGAGTCTATCTGCAGCAGCACCTGCGCTGGGCTGCTGTTCATTTTGCCAGGGCCTTGGGGTGGAAAGTCACAGTCCCCTCCCTCCTGCAGATAAAACCTTAGCCCCGCTCCATATGTCTGCAACAGTGGGGACCCTACCCCATTAGCACAGGGAGACTTGGTCTTTCTGTCTTCGTAGGAATGGTTTTAGTGCCTGTTCTTCTAAAGCTATGCACTCCTACAGTGGCCAAGGCTCACCTCCTCCCCAGTGAATCGCAGCCACAGTTACATTGCAGCTCACTCTAAGGAAGTTGTCCTGCTCTTGACAGATGTTTAAGGAAACTGGAAGAATGGCTAGCAACTGTTGCCTTTTCTTTTTTCCTCCTAGAACCTGGTTTAAAGCATGAAACACTACTTTTCAACGTGAAGATTTATGGGCACATGTTATGGCAGATTGAAATTACCTCACTTCATGGGAGAAAAGTAACTCTTGTTCGTAATTGACAATGTCAATAAATTCATTCATGGTTCACCATTACTGTTGATTTTTGGTTTCTGTTGGGACTTTTTTTTTTTTTTTTTTTTTGGTCAGTCTTGGGACTTAAACTCAGGGCCTGGGTGCTGTCCCTCAGCTCTTCATCTCAAGGCAAGCGCTGAGCCACAGTGCCACTTCCAGTTTTCTGGTGGTTAATTGGAATAAGAGTCTCACAGACTTTTCTGCCTAGCTGGCTTTCAACTGTGATCCTCAGATCTCATCCTTCTGAGTAGCTAGGATTACAGCCATGAGCCACCAGCACCCGGCTACCTAGCTCTGTTGAGCCTTTTTTTTGGTTGTGGGGCTCAAACTGGGCCTGGGCGCTGTCCCTGAGCTCTTCAGCTCAAGGCTAGCGCTCTACCACTTGAGCCACAGCACCACTTCCAGCTTTTTCTGTTTATGTGGTGCTGAGGAATCGAACCCAGGGCCTTATGCATGTAAAGCAAGCACTCTACCACCGAGCCACCTTCCCAACCCTGTTGGGACTTTTTAAAGGAGCTATCTGTACCACTTGTATGCTTCTGAACCAAGACTTCTTAAAAGAGGGAAAGCTGGGACTGGAGGTGTACCTCCAGTGGTAGAGGGCCAGCCTATTAGGTACAAAGGCCTGAGTGGCCTGAGTTCAAGCCCCAGTACATCCAAAAAGAAGGGAAGGGATGGGAAGAGGGATCTGCAACATTTAATGGCCAAATGGATTACAAGAACATCACTTTATCTCAAAGTAGCAGTTCTGCCTTGACACCATTAATTGGCGCTGTCCTTGAGGCCCCGGTCTCTGAATTGCACAGAACAGTGGCTCTGTCTCATCTGCCTGCCCTGTCCTTGTCTGGACAGCCGTGTCTCCAAGTAATGCTGCACAGCTGTGACCAAGTGTAAGCCATCACTTGGTGAGGATATGAGAACAAGTACTTATTTTACACTGCACACAAAAATCAGTAAGAACCATTAATGTTAGAATCTCAACACAAATGCCTTTCACACTTTATTAATGAGTCTTCATTTTCTGGTACCGTTTCTCAGGAAATGAGGCAAGGCTGTTCAATACTTGCATATTGAGTTGTTGGCCCAGCTAAAATTAAAAATCAGATTCTCCACTGCAAGTCTGAGATACGATAATTACAAGTTTTATGTGTTTGTGCGGTCATTCATTTATTCATTGAATGTCTAGGGAGGAAGAATTATGTCTTGTTTTTTTATCTTCCTATGAAACTTGGAGCTACTTGGCCAAATAAAGCCATTTCATTTCAAAGTAGGTTGTACAATTTAGCTTTTGGAAGAGTACAGCAATAAATTGGAAGAGGAAATTTTGGAACATTTCTATGACAGTTTTCACCATGTGGTAGTTAAGCTCACTGTTGTCTGATCAGGACCAAGGACAAGTTGAAAATGCCTGTGTTTTCAGCTTCTGGGATGACTTCCTACCCCTTATATTCGACCACCATGTTTTTGTTTTGGTTTTTTTTTGCTTGAACTCAGTATCTTAACACTTTCACTCACTGGCTGGTGTTCTCCTATCTGAGCCACATGTCTAACCCTGACCTGTTTTATTAAATTCTCACAGGGCACACACACAGAATTATAAGGGTCCCCACAGCAGCAGGTGAGAAGCGGGAAAGGTCTGAGGCAGCACCTTCCATCACAGGGATAGAAGTAAAGCTGCAGGTTTGTAGAGCCTCTTAATATGAAACAAAGTAACAGGTAAAAAGCTGAATGATTAGCCATAAGAGTGGAGACTTTGGGTAGGGGAAAGGCTAGTAAAAGATTTTACTATACAAAGATTGTAATATGGGGCTGGGAATGTGGCCTAGTGGTAAAGTGCTTGCCTAGCATGCATGAAGCCCTGGGTTCAATTCCTCAACACCACATAAACAGAAAAGGCCAGAAGTGGCCTTTTTTTTTTAGTGGTAGAGTGCTAGCCTTGAGCAAAAAGAAGCTCAGGGACAATGCCCAGGCCCTGAGTTCAAGCCCCAGGACCGACCCAAAAGAAAAATCAAATCCTGCATCAATCCTGTGATAAACTTCCTGAGCCCGCTGCTGTGAGGTAGTGGGGCCACTGCCCAAGCAACGAGGGGACCCCGTGGACTGGTGTGGGCACTGCACTGCCTGGCTAGGTGATGGCTGAGAGAGAGGAGGTGCCAGGTCCTCCGGTGCAAAGTGAAGAAATCAGACAGACTAAAATGTTATGGCTGGTCTTCATCATGGGAAGACCAGTGTTGCCATGACAACCATGCCACTAACAGATTAAGCTCTTCAAAAGTCAGGAGGGAAAGATTTCTCTTGGTGTCTAGCTTGTTGATTTAATCTGCTTGTATCATAGGAAAGAGTAGGTTGGTGAGATGTACTTTTAAATATTTCTAATGACTCAAATTAATCAGTCTGGGTATGGGTAGTAGGCTCCAAGAAAAGGATTTTACTTGATCTGAAATAAAGCACTTTAATTTATAGTTGGATTTCTTTGTATTTTAATGATTACTACTGAGCAAGCAAAATCTTTACCATAATATACTGCCCTTTTAGATTTGAGAAGGAAAGCACAAGAGAAAGCATGTAGAGAAGTTCTTACTTTAAGAGGCTGTAAGTTTTTAGAACCTGAGGAAGTTATTAACTCAAGTTTAGGAATATATAGTGTAGTTCTTCCTGAAGCTAGTGCTTCTCACGTACAACCACAAAGTGTTTAAAATGTTTTACATTGTTTTAGTTTTGCAAATAGAAGCTTATCAGTGAGACCAGCAGCAAAGCCAGCCTGTTGTTGAAATAATTATTAGTTTGTTAGTTAATATAGTGAATTTATTAGTTATCACAGGAGAGTGAAGCTTCTCAGAATGATGATTCTGTCCATCTCCCTGCTAATGTGTTGCTGAAGACGAGGATCCAATACATACTTCCTGAAGAGAAGGGTAGAGCCTTTTCCCCTACCACTTATCCATGGATCAAATAGTCCAGCACCACTGCTAATTCTGCATGACCATTAAGACCCTTCTGGTCCTGGAACTACTGGTAGACCTCAAGTCAGAAGTAGATAAACCAATTAAGTTATAGCCCATTTGATGGCGAGACTTTTGTGTATGTAGTCTTGTAATGTGAGCAGATTAAAATAATTGTGTGATGGGTAAAGCTGTGTCATCACGCAAACATTATGGCAATTTCTGCAAGTTAATTTGAACTCAAAGTTCCCTAATGAGACAGTTCCCTCTGTCACCAAGAAGGGCACCTAATCCCTGCATTTGAATGGTTGTGGGGGGTGTGATGCGCCCAGAGGGCAGAGGATTATGTGATGGACTCGAAAAGGGCACTTGGACTTCACCTTGAAAAGGGAGACCAAAGATGACTGCTAATGAATTCCAGGAATCTAGTACTAATAAGAAATTTTCACTATATGTTGACAGCTACTTAATGGAAATACAGATCAGATCAGACAGGATTGGAGTGCTTTTAGTTCTTGTTTTTTGGTTAGAGTGGGAATGTGGAAAGAACCATGGCTTTTCTTTGCTCCTTCTTTCCCTTCCCAGTTAGTGTGTTGAGATGTTCCCAAGGCCTGCAGTTTCCCAGGGGTGCTGACTGGTTCCTCCTGGCCCTGGACTTCCCCATTTGTGCCTTGGCCACTTGGCTCTGCTGAAAGCCCTCCAGCCCAGGAAAGCAGGATATATTTGTGCCAAAGGTAGTAGGGGTTAGAGTCCTGGACAATGCTGCTAGCTTAGGGCTGAAGACCAACCCTCACCTGTGGGTGCCTGGCCCAGAGTAGGTGTTCAGGATGTTCCAAGGTGTTCAGGTGTGCCTAACACTGGAACAGAGGTAGGGCTTGGAGGCAAAGCACCTTGCTGTTTATCACGCCTGTAATCGCAGCTAAAAAGAGGCTACGATCTGAGAATGGCAGTTGAAGCCAGTCCAGGCAGCGAAGTCCACAAGACTTAGCTTTAATTAGCCACAAAAAGCCGAAAGTGGAGCTATGGTCCAAGTGGTAGAGCGCCATCCTTGAGAGAAAGAGCAAAGGGACAGCACCCAGGCCTTCAGTTCGTGCCTAGTACCAGCACACACGCGCACACGCACGCGCGCCTTGAGAACGCACACGGATATCCACCCTCCAGGGCAGTGACGGCAGCGCGTGGAGAAGCAGGGCACCACCAGCCCCCCGCGCCGCGCCCCGGCTCCGTGAGGCCCGAGGAGCGCCCGCCCCGCCCGGTCGGCCCTCACCGTGCGTCCCCGGGCTCCTGCTCCTCCTCCTCGGCTTCCGGCTCTGCCTCCTCCCCGCCCTCGTCCTCCTCGGGGAGGCCCCGAGCCTCCTGGAACTGCTGGTACTCGGACACCAGGTCCTGGACCTCGCTCTCGGCCTCCTCAAACTCGGCGACGTCCATGCCCTCGCTGGTGTACCAGTGCACGAAGGCGCGCCTTCGGAACATGGCCGAGAAGCGCTCCAGGACCCTGGCGAAGAGCTCCTGGATGGCCGTGCTGTTGCCCATGAAGGTGGCCGCCAGGTCGAGGCCCCGGGGCGGGACGTCGCAGACGGCCACCTTGACGTTGTTGGGGATCCAGTCCACGAAGCGGTCGCTGTGGCGGCTCTGCGCGGCGAGCAGCTGCCGCTCCACCTCCCGCGTGGACACGCGGCCCCGGAAGACGCAGGCCACGGTCAGGTAGCGGCCGCGGCGGGGGTCGCAGGCGGCCATGGCGCTGCGGCCGTCGAACATCTCCCGGGTGAGCTCGGCCACGGAGAGCGCGGGCTGCTGCGGGCCCGGCGCGGCGAGCGGCACCACGGCGGGCGCGAAGAAGTGCAGGCGCGGGAAGGGCACCATGTTGACGGCCAGCTTGCGCAGGTCGGCGTTGAGCTGGCCCGGGAAGCGCAGGGACGTGGTCACGCCGCTCATGGCCCGCGACACCAGCCCGTTGAGGTCGCCGTAGCGCGGCGCGGCCAGGCGCAGCGCGCGCCGGCACAGCCCGTGCAGCGCCTCGTTGTCCAGGCAGAAGCAGGCGTCGGCCGCGGCCATGAGCGGACGCAGGGACAGCAGGGCGTTGTAGGGCTCCACCACCGTGTGCGACACCCGGGGCGAGGGCAGCACGCTGAAGCAGCTGAGGATGCGGTCGGGGTACTCGTCGCGCACCCTGCCCAGCAGCAGCGTGCCCAGGCCCGAGCCCGTGCCGCCGCCCAGCGAGTGCACCAGCTGCAGGCCCTGCAGGCGGTCGCAGGCCTCGCACTCGCGCCGCGCCGCCTCCAGCACGCTCTCCGCCAGCTCCGCGCCCTCCGTGTAGTGGCCCTTCGCCCAGTTGTTGCCGGCGCCCGAGGTCCCTGGGGGGGCGGAGGGGGAGAAGGGGTGAGTGGGCAGAGAGGGGCCGGGTGAGGGCGGAGCTCGCCCAGCGGGGGGCGGGGGGGTCACCTGCGGGGGGCCCCCCCGGCGGAACCTTCTGGAAACACCTACCGTAGATGAAGCTGTCGGGCTGGAAGAGGGTTCCCAGCTTGCCGGAGCGGATGCTGTCCATGGTCCCCGGCTCCAGGTCCACCAGCAGGGCACGGGGCACGAACTTCCCCCCTGCGGGGACGGGCCAGCGGGGCGAGTCCACGCGCAGCCCGCACTACCAGCCCCTTCCCCCAAGAAAGAGCCTGGCGGGACCCGAACCCTCCCCCACTCCCTTCACCCCCTGGCCAGCAGAGCAAGCCACGGTCTGCGTGGCTCCGGAAGGACCCGACGCCGCCAGCGCGGGGCCCCGCCGCCCACGCTGCCCCGCCGGGCCTGGACCCCACGGGGACCCCACGGGCCGGCCCCGGACCCACCGGGACCCACCGTGGGCCTCGTTGTAGTAGACGCCGATCCTCTCCAGCTGCAGCGCCGACGCCCCGTGGTCTCGGCCTGCGCAGTCCAGCCCGTGCTCATCCCCGATCACGTCCCAGAACTGAATGCAGAAGGAAAAAGGTCAGCGCCAAGCCAGACCCCAGCCCCACACCCCGGGAGCACTGGAGAGGGAGCACTCCGCAGCGCTTTCTGGGGCAGCTCAGCCCTCCAAAGACACCTGCTTCCTTGTCACAGGCGGCCCGGGCGCCACTCACTTTTTGCCTCTGCAAAGTGTGAATATAAAGACCGCATTAAATCTACAGGAAGTCCTGCAGTAAAATGTCGCACGCACGCGTCCAGTATTCAATTGGGTATCGTTCCCATTACAGCCAGTCCATTGGTGCACATGAAAGCTATCCTTTGAGAGGTTCACATCAGACGGTTGTCGCCGCTTTCCCCTTGTAGTTTCCCAGCTCCTAACGCACAGACACACTCAGGGAACAGAGGCTGGATTTTCATCTGATTTCACAATGATAGCTCCTTTCACTTGGAAGGGGTTTTTTTTTCATGAAGTTTTCCCAAAAGCTCATAGGGCAGCCACTCCTAAGCATGATTATTGTACTTTTTTTTTTTTTCTGATCAGGCCTGCACACAGTTCAGAGTGTTCTGATCTTTAGTGGAACCTGCTGTGCTTTCAGGCACCACTACCTGACTGATCACAGTAGCTGGGTGCTAGTGGCTCAGGAGGCTAACACCTACGGATCAAGGTTCGAAGCCAACCTGGGCAGGAAGGTCTATGGGACTCCAATTAACCAGCCAAAAGCCAGGAGTGGAGGGTATGGCTCAAGTGGTAGAGAGAGCATCAGCCTTGATTGAGCAAAGGAAGCTTCTAGGCCCTGAGTTCAAACTGCAATACCAGCACCAACTTCCCCTACCCTCCCCACCACTGCCGGGAATAAAGATAGCTGGGCACCAAGCTCCTAATGTGGAAGCAGTTTCTGGGATGAGTTCTTCTGATCATCTGAAAAAGAGTGCTTTGAAATATAATGAAAAGATATTTCCTTCTGTCAGAATCCCCAAAGGCACTTTCCCAACCTAGTCTCTTTAAATGATACTTCTACTCTGGCCTGGTCTGTTTTTCAGTAAACTAGCAGGGAGTAGTAGGCCAGTCAGGAAACTAGTTTTGAGACAGCACAATTATTAAACATGCCTAAACTTCTCACGCCCCTGGCAGTAAGCTCTAGCCTAGGCATACCACGAAGCTCCTATCTCAGCCAAGCACTTCCTGTCCATGTTATCTTCCAAGGTCAGAGAGGGGACTCCTCCACTGTTCTCCATCTTGTCACTGTGGTTGGCACACAGGATGATGGTGCTTTTTGCCCCAGGGTTACAAGACCTGCATTTAAGGACCTTAATTTCTTCATAGTAGCATTCTTGACAATAGCCAAGAGGTAGAAACAACCCAAATATCTATCTAGAGATGAATAAATACACACTATCATCCACACATGCAATAAAGCATTATTTAGCTACATCTTGCAACTACTATATGATCCCGCCTTAGGAAGACACCTAGAAGGAAGAAATGCACAGAGACGGAAAGTAGAATCATTGTCAGGGACTGGAGGAGAAAGGAAATAAGGAATTAATATTTCAGTTTTCAAGCACAATATACAGTATGAATATACCCAATGCTACTGAACCATAATACAAAAAAGTCACTATTATGCAATGAATTTTTTATCATACCTAAAAGATATTTAAATGTTTTCTTCCTTTTTAAGGTCGCATAATGTTCTGCTTTATTAGCTAGATGATCATGTTTCTATTCATGCTTCCATCAGTGGACCTTTGGGCTATTTCCACTTTTCACCTGTTATTAGGAATGCTGTTATGAAGAAACTAATGTCTTTCATTGTTTGATTGTTTTAAAACCTTACTTTTCATGCAGTTGATACTCATAAAAGTAATTTAAAAAGAACAAAGAGGGCTGGGAAGGTAGCCAAGTGGTAGAGTACTTGCCTTGCATGTACGTGAGGCCCTGGGTTCAATTCCTTAGCACCACATCAGCAGAAAAGGCAGGAAGTGGCATTGTGGCTCAAGTGGTAGAGCGCTAGCCTTGAGCTGAAGAGCTGAGGGACAGTGCTCAGGCTCAGAGTTCAGGCCCCAAGACCAAAAAAAAAAAAAAAAAAAAAACCGAAGAGAGCCTGTTACACTTGTTTGTCCTAAAATTAGTATCAAAATTTTGACCTGAAGCACCTGTCTTCTTGACATTAGCCAAGTGAATAAATAAATCAGATGCTTCGTAGCCAAATTTAAGCAGGAGGATGGAGCAGAGAAGGGAATATCTCCTTTATTTGCCAGCGGGTGCCTTTTCATTACTTCTGGGACTGTACACAACGAAGCAAGTTGCTTTATTTTGGGTTTACCTATTTATTACATACTAAGTAAAACAATAGATTTTTTTCCCCTTGTAACATAGACATGGGAGGGGAGAGAAAAATCACTCCAGTGATAGAGCATCAAACAAATTCCCAACAAGCTTGAAAGAGCTCTTTTGAGACAAATGACTGACTTGAAATACAAAAAGAGCACTACTAAGATGATAAAAGTAAGATAGTTGATATACAAATTATCCATATGTAACTAAAGACAAAATTAACATTAATTAAATGAATCTTCTAACTCTAGTAGCAAGTCCCAGTGTCTAACTAAAGACTTTGTTTAATAACCAGTCATTTGCAAGGAATTGGAATCTGCCAGGCTGGGTTTTCTCTGCCAGGCTGGGTTTGGTGGCATTCATGGGCAAGGGAAGCTGTGCCGGCAACCAGGGATTACATACCTTTTCTCCTATCTGGTTGCCACACTGGCCGATCTGGAGATGCACGATTTCCCGCATCTTTGCTTCGAGCGGTTGGGTAAAATCCCAGACTCAAGGAAAGCGGTCTTCACCAGGATGAGCCCCGTCAGCTCTGGTCATCGCAGTGGCAGGTCTAGCTGACCATGCTGCACTGGCAGTTGGCTCAAGGGTGTGTCCAGCCTGGGGCCCAGCCCAGGCTTCCCTGTATTCTGCCTGTCATCCTTCAGAAATGATACTTCGCCTCTCCCGACAGAATATTGCCCGGTCATTTCCCGGCCTGTGCAGACAAAGGTCCTGCTGGTCCCTCCCTCAGGTCTCACTAGGGTGGTCTCTAGGCCCTGACCCTGGCTCTGAGGTCCGAGGGTGACGGCTGAGTGGCAGCTCCCAGCTGGGACTGTCTAGGCAGAGGTCCCCTATCCAGCTACCATTGAGCTTCAACCCAGCACTCGGTCCCTAGTCTTCAATCAACATTCCCCAAGGAGAGATTGGAAAGCCCCCTCAGTGCTGAGGTGGCTTAGGGAAAAAGCAAGGCTGTACTTGGTATGGATGCTGGTCCTGAGGCTTGAACTCAGGGCCTGGACATGGTCCCTGAACATTTTTTTTGGGGGGGGGGGTCCGATCGTGGGGCCTGAACTCTGGGCCTGGGCGCTGTCCCTTAGCTCTTCAGCTCAAGGCTAGCGCTCTACCACTTGAGCCACAGCGCCACTTCCAGCTTTTTTCTTTTTGTTTATGTAGTGCTGAGGAATCGAACACAGGGCCTCAGGCATGCAAGGCAAGTGCTCTACCACTGAGCCACCTTCCCAGCCCCTCCCTGAACATTTTTGCTCCAAGTTAGCCCTCTACTATCTGAGCCATAGCTCCACTTCCTTTCTTTCTTTTTTTTTTTTTTTGGTGTTTAACTGGAGATAAGAGTGTCGTAGACTTTCCTGTTGGGGTTGGCTTAAAATTGTTATACTCTGATCTCAGCCTCCTGAGTAGGAATTACAGGTGCCTGGCTCATTTTTATTCTTAAATTGTAAACCTTTGCATAGAGAGAAAAGTAGTACTTAAGATCATTACAAGATAATTATGAAAGAGAATTTCCTTCTTGAAGTGAACTAAAGTTGTGAAGACGGAATAGAATTCTTAGGAGCTCCGGAAATCACATCAAGAGAGAAAATACAAGCTGCATCCCTGGAATGCCAACACTGGGGCTGAGGAAGGAAGATTGGGAGTTCAAGGTCAGCCTGGACTACCCACCAAGGCCCTGTGTCTAGTGAAGGGGAAAAAGGGAACGAGAAAGAGATATACAAACTGTCCAACGTGCCCAGCCAATCCCTGGTCTTGTGCTGTGACAAAAGCAGAGAAACTGTGCCACGGTCCTGGACTCCAGGCAGCCTGATAGTGGGTTCACAGCCTCCCTACTGTTAACATGGGGTAACTCTGGGTGTGATGTGGAGCCAAACTCCAGAGCTCCCATCCCCCAGGTGTCAGTGTGGGTGCTGATGTCCTCTGCCCTGGGTCCTGTCCCTACACACTGGCCTAAGTGTAAGGATCTAGTCCAGTGTGCAGTGCTCTCTTCTGACCTGGGGGCTGTGAAGTCCCTGGGATCCTAGCGGGACCCCGAGGCGGAGAGCAGAGCTGTTCCCATGGATCTCATTGGATACCTGTTAGAATCTAAGCACAGACTGTGACTGTTGAGTAGTGGCATAGCATCTATGGTCTGTTTCTTGACTGGCCGTGGCACAGCGGTTCCATGCATGGGAGTCCTTGTTTTGGGAGAAAACACACTTGGAGCTCTTCAGAGTCAAGTAGCCATGGTGCCAACAACACTCAAGCTCTGACGACACCACCATGGTAGTTTCATGGTTGAGCTGGACAGTGGTGGCTCACGCCTGTTTTCCTAGCTACGCAGGAGGCTGAGGTCTGAGGATCATGATTCAAAGCCACCAAAAATCTGTAATGGCTCAAGTGGTAAAGCACCATCCTTGAACAACAATTAAAAAAAGTGACAGTGGCCAGGCCCTGAGTTTAAGCCCTAGGGCCAGCAGAGAGAGAGGAAAAGAGAGGAAGGAAGGAAGGAAGGAAGCAAGGAAGGAAAGAAGGAAGGAAGGAAGGAAACAAGGAAGGAAGGAAACAAGGAAGGAAGGAAGAGAAAGAAAAAGAAATACACATGGAGGGACCGTTGAGCGCGCATAGTAGCTAGGGATTTCCCAGCTCTGGGCCTCCATCCGCTCCCTTCTCTTTTGGTGAGTCTCCCATCTAGGAGATCCTCATAGCTCCAGGCTGCTCAGGACAGCCCCTACCTACCCCAGTCCCTCACCAGAGGCCCTTGAAGCCCTCAGCACGCACACCACGGTGGCCCTGTTTGCTAATTACTTATGCACGTGACTTATCTCCCAGGCTGCAGGGTAGCTGCTGCTGTCCGCTCCCCTTTGCATCCTCCAAGAGCTGGATACATAACGGGGCCTCAGCAAATGTTTGTTGAGTAGCCACCTGCAGCTGGGTGAACTGGAGCACAAAAGCTCAGAGCGACAGGTCTCCTCAAGCCCCATGATGTGTTTATTCAAGAGTGTGACCTTCTAACGGTGGGCTCAAATGGGGAAACTGTTCCAAGAAAGCAGGCCATCAGGCCGGCTCAGAGGAGAAGCCATGCCACGGGCCCTGGCCTCCGAGCCGCGGTTGAAAGGGGTGGGTGTTGCTGCGCCTGGCCTCTCTGCAGGGACCACTGGGCCGGGCCGGGCTGGGCCAGAGGCCTTTTTGATCTCCCTGTGTTCCTTCTTCACTGCCATGAGCAGGCCCCAGTATGCTTGGGCCCCCACCCCAGCCCTCCCCACTGGAACACATTGCCTTGGTCAGTTAGTTTGCTCAGGGAGGAGAGAGCCTGGCTTCCAGATGGCACTTAAAAGGCTTTTCTGTTAATGGGGCAGTTGGCAAAAAAAAAAAAAAAAAAAAACTAAAAAGAGAAGGAAAGAGGGGGCAGGAAAGAGAAGCCCTGTTTGCTCTGATTCTTGTATCACAGCCGTGTTTATTCGGTCTCGGCTGGGCGCTGAGCTGTGGATGCCCGGCCGGCCAGGAGCTGGGGCCAGGCAGGGGGTGGCTGGCAGGTTCCTTGGGCTGAAGTTTGATTCCAACCCTAAGGGAGGCAGGCCTGTCCTCCTCCCTGTCCTGGGAAGCAGAAGAAGATCCCTGATCTGAGTCTGTCCTGAAGGCTCGGCACGTGGTGGCTGGCCACCCTCCTGACCCCCCCATACCCTGCCCCGTGCCTGGCAGGAGGCAAGACTCCAGCCAGCTTCAAGACATGCCTGTCCCTGCCCTCAACCCTTCTTGGACACACGTGGCTGGCTGAGCTAACACGGCTGGCAGAGCAGAGGGCAGGAAGTGGTGTGGTTTAGAAAAGTAATCTATTCTGTCTTAGCTCTTTGATGAAGGTACCTGGTACCCCCCCCCCGCCCCGCCACCCCCCCTAACCCGCCGCCATCCCAGGAAAGCATTGTCCTCTGACTGCCAATGTGGTACGAGCCAGGGACGCCATACCGTGCCCTGCCCTTGGACCCATACAAATGGCCCTTTCCATGACACAGCTGCACTGTGACCTGGAGATGCTGGCATCACCGCCAGGTCTGCTCTCCAGCGGGAGGAAGGCAACCCCTCGCCCTGATCTGGGCAGGGGACAGAGGGGAGGGGGCATCCGTGGTGCATAATAAAGTGCTTTCCTGCCCTAGAGAATGGTGGTGGCAGAGGCAGGTTAGCGAGGACTGTGTTCGTGTGCCAAGCTCCCCCGGGCCTCGCCCAAGAGGCCAGAGTGCAGGCGCCGGGGCTCCACTTAGCATGCACCCTGGGTAATTCCATACTCTGAGCACGCTGCTGAGGAGACACTGCATGTGTGAACCGGGCCGGCTCACCCTCGCCTGAGGGAGCAGTCCAAGAAGAGCAGCAGAGAGTCTTTTCCTGGATGACGCTGGGGTCTATTATGGGCGAAGAAGCAAGAAGATAAGAAAACCCAGTGTCACCAGAAACCCCCAATCGACCACTTCCAGACTTCCCTACCCCCGGGGGGTCAGATGGAGCTCCCCAACTTTCCACGTAGCCAATGAAATGTCATTAGGAGGAAAAGAGGGTACTCAGAGAATTCATTGACTCCATCTGCCCTGCTCTTCCCTCTGGAGCCCGTGGAAGCTTCGGGAATCACTCAGAGAAGTTGTTGAAGGACAGTATCTACTTGACTGGGATTCAGAAATTTTTTCCAAATGCCTTGTCGAGAAAAGTGACATGTGAGGGGACACTTGGAGTGACAGCGTGGCGGCCTCTCAGTGAGCCAGGCTCCTTTCCTGCACCTTCCATGTTCTCTTGCTTGGAAAGAAAGTTCTAGGAGCACAAAGAGGTAACTGGTTGTCTGGAGGGGACCCCATCTTCTTCCTTTGTGGCCGGAATGTCTGCGGTGCTCACAGCACAATGCTGGCCATTCTGGTCTGGCCCTGACTATGTGGAAAACGCTTGTCTGGCCCTCTGCTGCCTTGACACTGACTGAGCTGTGACTGCTTTGGCTTACAGATGGACACACGCATGCACACACACACACACACACACACACACACACACACGGGCCTGCACACTGAGCCGTGACTGCTTTGGCTTACAGATGGACACATGCATGCACGCACACACACATGGGCCTGCACACTGAGCCGTGACTGCTTTGGCTTACACGCATGCACACACACACACACACACACACGGGCCTGCACACTGAGCCGTGACTGCTTTGGCTTACAGATGGACACATGCATGCACGCACACACACATGGGCCTGCACACTGAGCCGTGACTGCTTTGGCTTACAGGTGGACACACGCATGCACACACACACACACACACACGGGCCTGCACACTGAGCTGTGACTGCTTTGGCTTACAGATGGACACACGCATGCACACACACACACACACACACGGGCCTGCACACTGAGCCGTGACTGCTTTGGCTTACAGATGGACACATGCATGCACGCACACACACATGGGCCTGCACACTGAGCTGTGACTGCTTTGGCTTACAG